AAGAAAGCCTTCCTCTTTAGAACCAGCTGCAGGTTTTCATGTCCTTCAATTCACTTTGTACTGTTTGGATAGATTGTTGTTTGGTGGGAGTGACGCTGTCCTCACAAAACAGAATATAAGAAGTTATCAGATCTGTTAAAGTTGGACATGTCCAGAGGAGGGACAGTGGGTATACTGGTAGAAGGATGTTAGAAATGCAGCTGCCAGGAAAAAGACAAAGAGGAGATATATGGATGCAGTTAGAGAGGACATGGAGGTAGTTGGAGTGAGGACAGAGGATGCAGAGGACAGAGTGAAGACAGAGGATACAAAGGGCAGAGTGAGGACAGAGGATGCAGAGGACAGAGTGAAGACAGAGGATACAAAGGGCAGAGTGAGGACAGAGGATGCAGAGGACAGAGTGAAGACAGAGGATGCAGAGGACAGAGTGAGGACAGAGGATGCAAAGGGCAGAGTGAGGACAGAGGATGCAGAGGACAGAGTGAGGACAGAGGATGCAGAGGACAGAGTGAGGACAGAGGATGCAGAGGACAGAGTGAGGACAGAGGATGCAGAGGACAGAGTGAGGACAGAGGATGCATCATGAAAGAACAAGCTCCAGTCTGTTGATTCAAAACAGCCTTTCAATGTTTCAGCAGCTTCATTGTTCCAGATTTTAAAAGATTTTGAGAAATGTTGCTCCAGTTTCAGTTTGGACTGATATCTTGGCAGCAGGATACGAGGTTATGGTCAGAACCAAGAGGTGGACGTGACTTCACTGCGTATGCATTTGTGATGTTACCAAAGCACAAGTCCAGTATATGTTGTCAAGTTGGAATATTGTTCCAAACTGGGCAGATATTTGGTGATGTGACATCTGTTGCAATGTCCCAATAAAAACACAGCTTGTTCTCTGCTGCGGTCAGCAGCTCTGTTAAAACTGTCTATTGTTTCTGCAGCCAGACTAAAATCAGGTCCTGGCACGTACACTAAAACAACTGTTGAGAGAATTCTCGAGGGAGGTAGTGTGGTCTGACCGACAGTCAGAAGGTCAGTGTTCACAGATTTCTTTCTCTCTTACAGTAAAATTACTTTAGAAAAGTAAAAGATGGTCCTAAAACCTGTTTTTTGAAATTAACTTTAGTTGTGATTTAAAAGCTCTGTTGGATCTTATGCTGCTGATTATTTCACGCTGCTGATTATTTCATGCTGCTGTATTCATTCATACCCATCTGCTCATCACTGACTCATGTTCGTGCTGCTGTTGTTACATCGTATTATTTACAATATTAGTGTTTAGTGTATATCTTAGATCCTTATTTACCGTTTGTTTTTTAAACACTTGTTTTTCTATTATTGGATGTAACTGGGACCCCGTGTACATAATTTTGTTCCACCTCATGTACCTCATGTGGTGAAATGACAATAAACCTGCTTGAACTTGAAAAGCCTCAAGGAGGTGCAAACTCAAAGAAGAGCAGCTGCCTGTCAGCTCAGAGCTTCAAGCTTTGAGAGAAAACCAAGGAGATGTTGGAAATACAGGTGAGTCTTCATCACCTGATCTGTGTGAGGAAGAGCCGAGGCTGCAGCTGAAACAGACCTTTTCTTTCACCACTAGCTTTTTAAATTCATCAAGAAGAAATCAAAACTCAAATCAATCTGCTTTCTTTTTTTAATACAAAAATTAAAATAAAAAACAAAACAATGAGCTTCTTTTTCTAACAAGACAAACGAGGTTTACAGAAACATCAAGTTAACAAAACTGGTTTTCCTCCCTGACAAACAAACAGTGAGCTGGGACTCAGAAATGAGCCGTTACTCTCTCGATTTCCAGAAGATCGTCCAGGATCTGCAGAGAGAAGGAGAAGAGGATGAGCAGAGAGAAGGAGAACAGGATAAGCAGAGAGAAGGAGAAGAGGATGAGCAGAGAGAAGGAGAAGAGGATGAGCAGAGAGAAGGAGAA